TAAATCTGCTTAATATTATTAATGCGCGCTCCGCAATTTAAGTTTCTTCCAATCATTGATTTTGAAAATATTTTATTTTTCAAAACAATAAATACATACACAAAATTGGCAGAAGTCGGACACACTTAGAAAAAAAGATTGTAATCATCTGGTAGCTTTACCTTACCTTTTTATTGTACCATTGTTAAAACTATGCAAAATTTAAAAAAATTAACTTTTAACGATATTTTTATTTTGCTTGTTCATTGGCTGGGTACATCTTGCATGATAACATATAATATTATAATTTTGGCTCTTTTGTTGTCAAAACACCTAAAATGTAGATATACAAGATATGAAGGTGGTCTTGGAAATGAAAAAGATAAGTACTCAATAACACTTTTACTGGCATCTGTGTTTGAGATTTGGAAATGTGTCCTATAATTGTTCGAAAAGTAGTAAGTGATAATAAATTGGATATTGGGTGAAGGGATAGAGAAAGAATTGTAAAAGGTATTTGTTGGTGTATGTACTTAAAAGAAGGAACTTATTTTGGAAATGCGTACTATAATTGTACTAAGTGGTACTAAATTACTTGTAGTGATGAAATGAACGAAACTATATCTCTGATGTATCTGAAGATGGAGCCCAAACCCAGTTTATATCACCAACTTTATTTTAATATATAAATAATGCGAAAGCATAAACGCTATAAGTATTTCCATAAATAATTTCTAAGTAAAAGACAAACCAACCACATGAACCAAGACCCTGGAAAGCAAGGGCAATCTCGTTGTTGGATGCGATGTCAAAGTCCACCACTTTCAATGGGGCAGTAAGGATACCAATGCCAAAGGTGTGCCCATTTTTGATTTTATGCTTAAACATAATCACAAAAGATGTAACAGGGGAAACGATGCTACTTTTCAAAATAAAAATAGGGAGGAGGCCATTGATCTCTCTCATAACATAGCAAATCTCAGTAGAGGAACTGCATCAAAAACCTCATAAAAATCCAATAAAGGCTCGATGGGACAAATTCGCGGAGTTTACCGAGTCGAGGCTTATATCTACATGTAAACCTCTGCCTCAAACATTGATGGGCCTGTAAATTCAATAAATTCAAAGATTCAATTAGAATTCAAAGATTTTAATTGGGTGTTATGGGAAAACTTGTCCGCTCACCTCCCCTGGCAAAAGATGACAACCTGTTTGGTGGTCTAAAGATCTAACCAAGCTCAGGAAATTAAGTAGACGATTATATAATAGGACCAACAATACCAAAATGTATACGGACTGGGAAGCTTATAAACATTCTTTCAACAGGTACAAACGTGAGATCAAAATGGCCAAAAGGTTATCATGGGTGTGTCTTACTGAGTAGAAGATGTCAATGAAGCTTCCAGATTTCGTAAAGTTTTTTCAAAGGACCCTAAATCCATTGGATGTAGAAAACGAAAAGATGTAAGTTGGACTGACTCTGGTCTAGAGACTCTCAATCTGTTAACCAGTACTCACTTTCCGAACAGCATGGATGCGGGAAATGATCGACTGTTAGAGCGACATAGTCAGCACTGTGGGGTAGAGGAGGTAAGTATCATTGATAGGATTGCAAGCACCCCCAAAATCTTATGGGCGATAAACTCCTTCAAATCTTTCAAGTCACCGGGACAGGACGGCATTACTCCCGCCATGTTAAAGCACGCATCGACGGTAATAATGCCATTTCTGGAAGTGATCTTTAAGGCTTGTCTGCTTCCCTCTCACATTTCATCGCTGTGGAGGGAAATTAGAGTCACTTATATTCCCTTTGACTTCGATGAGCACTGCTCAACATGCCTACATGAAAGGTAAATCTGTTGAAACAGCACAGCATGATGTAGTAAGTTTTGTGGAGAAGAACGACTCGTACTTCACTTTGGCAGCCTTTCTCGATATAGAGGAGACTTCAACAATGTTACACTTGAGGCAATTCATGGTTTCATTACAAAACTTAGTTTACCACCAACTCATGCATTGGGGAGTGCTCTGTCAGGAAATCGTTTCCATTTCTTTGTCTTCTGTCTCCATTACTTTGTCTTCTGGTAACAAAGGATACTCTAAAGGATGGAACAAAAGTAGTGGCTTACGCTGACAATGTGGTTCTACTGATTGCGGGTAAATTCTTGCAAACTGTTTCAGATCTCATGCAGGGAGTTCTTGTGAAACTCTCTAGATGGGCACGATGCAACGGCCTCGGCGTGAACCTATTTAAAACTGCGCTCATACTTTTTACAAGGAGGCGGAAAATCCCAATTTTTTAGTTGGGTTAAGCCTGCCAACGAAAGATAAGTACCTAGGTACTGTCCTTGGCCAAGAAATAAATTGAAAAAGGAACATCGAGGATTCCTTATATTTTCGCAATTTTCTTGCGATTATAAATTCAATTGTGCTATTTTTTTTGTTTTGGACTGTAGTGCATCCAATCGCCACTGGAGTTCACCTTTCCCGTAAGAAAATAGTTACAAATTTTCAGTTTTCTCAGAGTTTCACCGATTTTTTGTAATTCTCAACATTTTTGAGTAATATGTTTCTGCACAACTCTTGAAAGGTCTGCTATTATTCCATTGTTTTTTTAAAAATGGGAAAGAGAATTTTATTTACCCTCTACAACATCCTGTCGTTGTCGTTGGATTCTTTTATTAGTAACGCTGATCACACCAAAACCAAAAAACCAGCGCAATCGCTCCCACCATGACAGTTACCGAAATTGACAATTTGTCATCGTCCCCAATCTACGTCGATGACATAAGTTCTTGGATATGGATATGACGGAGCAGTTTAATGTGGTTCGCAAGCATAAGAATTGAGTGAATTGTTTTGCACTGAATCATTCACACGGTTCTTGTTTCAGTGACATCTTTCCACCTAAATCACGATCGGATTCTCGGTTCGTTTCTTCGCGAACATCCCGAAGGGATCTTTCACCTCCCTGGTTCAGTAAAATTGGACCATTTAGCTAACCACGGTCCTGTGTCTGTTGAATTCCGCCTCTCCAGTAAGTCGCGTCGCGACGTTGACACTGAGGGAGAAGATACTGTGTCAATTAACACAATTTTAGAGATTCGATTCGAAGGTGAACTTCGAAGGCACATTTCGCGTAGAAAATCGGGTCACCACTAAGACACCAGCCGAGTCTCTGTTCGATGCTTTTAAGAAAAATTTCCCACATCTTTCTTAGCCTCAATCATCGGAGATCGATATTGTCATTGACATCGATATCTATCCCAAAGTTATCACGGAGGGGGTGTATGTATGAAACGGTTTACCGACTGCCCAAAGTACGGTTTTCGACTGAGCCATATATGGCCTGTGCTCTTAAAAATAATAATTTGTTTTGTTTTCTTTTTCAACATTAATTCCGTCAAAGTCGAATTTGTCTAATTACAATTAACAAGTTCCAGAACTGTTTTATAACTTCAAGAATGTAAACGTTTTTATTGCGTTAATCAAATTATCCATTATGATATCGAAATGGCAAACTAGTCGCTTCTTGTTGGTTCCGGGACAGAGCAAAGGCGTAGTGCGTTAACTCTACATTGGACTTTATAGTATCATTAGTAACACACTTTAATTCATATTTTTAATACTTGTGAAAAGAGAAAGAAACCAATTAGTTGAAGGAAGAATACATTCCACTTTCTTTGAAAGTTTATAATATATTTACAATTTCCTTTACATATATGATTTTATTTTGTTTTTTGCTGAAAGAGTGCGCTCCTGGGAATAAAAAAAAATGGGTGTGAGAAAGTTTTCCTCGTTTTTGAGTGTGCCCAAAATTTGTTGAAATGTGAGCTGATCTACTCTTGCCTAGCTAAGAGTTGCGTTTGTATGTGTTTGTATTTTTGCAGCCACCATTAGCAAAAATAACAACAACAATCAAATCAAAAGTATCGTTGCCTATCTTAATAAAGCCTGTGCTAGTGCAGTTGTTTGTGTGCTTGTTAGCTTTGTCAGCGTGGTTTGTAAGCTGTCGTCATAAATGATTTAGTGTTTAAAGTGAAACCAAACATATGACATGACATAAGCATCCACCAACTTAAAACTAACAGCCGTGAGTTTTTGAATTGTATAAAATTGTGAAAAAAATATCTAATGGGTAAGCACCATCCTAACAAATTATGACAACACGTTTCGAAAACTTCTAGGAATGCGTTTATCCAAAAAACACCGGTCCCCTGCAATATATTCTGCTGTCTTTTTCTTCGATTTTGTACACGATAAACCTAACCTCTTGCCTCCTTTCCTTCAAAGTGCACAGCAACATAAAAACCGGTTTGCTGTCGCAAACACACACGAATCACCAAAATAATGCTCTACTCATATTCACTCTTAGAGAAAACTCTTCATCTATTTTGAGTAATTCTGCTGCCACTCTAATTTTTCAAACAAGAGTGACTCAGGAGTGCTCCCACACAAAATAAAAGAGTGAAGAGTAGACTCCATTAAAAACCACCACTCTTTTAGCAATCGCATGACAAAGAGGAAAAAACAAAACGGATCAATATATAACATCACTATTCATCACTGGTATCCAATTGACCAAAGGCATGGTACAATAAAAAGGTAAGATGTCCGTAAATTAAAACACCTTGTTGCCTATAATTTTGAATAATTCTGACAGGAAGCGGGCATAGCCTCTGGGTTGTATTCCTGTAGTTTTACGAAGCTGTTCTACCTCCTTATTGTACCATGCCCAAAGGTAGAAACACAACAATGTCATAAATTGATTTTGCGGTAAGTAATCTCATTTGTTAAAAATTGTTTTTATATATTTTTGACATAATAAATTTACAAAACTTTTGTTCGCTTGCAAAATGTTTGCCCACTTCTGAACTTGTAGCATTGAACTTGTTTAGCTATGTTTACAATTGTTTACTTTGAAAATTTTGGGGGAATTTGTTGTCCAAAAATGAGATTGAATAATGTACCATGTGAACTTGGTATAACTGAAGTTGTGCGACTTTCGTACTAGTATCTACGATACGTCATCAGATGTTACGTTGCGTGTGTTCCACTAATTTTGATTGACAATCATTTGGCATCGTCAAAATTAAAGTATGTTGTGTGTTTGGAGATTTTTCGACTACTAAAATGGCAGACGATTTACAAAACTATAAATTACAACTTCAGCAGGTAATAATATTTATTTTTGACAGTATATTTATCATCTAAAATACATCTGTGTTTAGGTGGAAGCTGCTTTACTTACAGACCCTGAAAATGAAGAGCTTCTGAAGTTGAAAAAGGATTTGGAGGAGGTCATCGAATTAACCCGAGACCTCGTAAAAACTCAGCTAGAGGAGCAAAGTAAACCTGCATATATTGAGCCTGCAAATTCAAAATCTTCATATGATGATATAGAATCAGCTTTGATTCACGTTGAGAAACTTTTTTCGCCAAGCAAAGTATGGAAAATTGGTGATAAATGCCAAGCAAAGTGGACAGAAGATGGGCAGTTTTATGACGCCACCATTGAAGATATTACGGAACATGGTGAAGTTAGAATTATTTTTGATGCTTATCAAAATCGATCGACTACACTACTTAATGAGCTTCGTGAGAGAAGTAGTCGTACAGAAGTTTTTCCGAGTAACAAGCGTCATAGGCCTAATCAGAAAGAGTATCTTAAGAAACGAAAGCTTAAGAAACAACAACGCTTTAAAGAACTGGAAGAAGAACGAGAGCAAGATAAAAACAAATGGTTAAGTTTTACCACAAAGCATTCAAAAAAGCAAGGAATGCAGGTAAAAAGTATTTTTGCATCTCCTGAAAATGTTGAAGGTCGTGTGGGAATCGGTACGTGCGGTGTTGCTGGTAAAGGAATGACGGACTACACAGTCGGTGAAAAACATAGAAAAGGACTTTAAATTATTAAATTAACTTCAATTATGATTCTAAGGTGTTTTTTTTTTGTAATAAAATGTATTTCATACTTACTTTGACATCATTTTATCTCTGTCATTTCCTCTTCCAGCTTGGTGAACGGAATTTCGCTTTTGAAGTATGTATTGATTTTCTTTTGCTTTTGATAACGTCTCAAATGCAAGGTCATCATGGCCGGCCTTTTCATGGACACGTGCCAATAGCAAAAGTTTTTTTGTTCTGAGCTGGATCTCTTCTGCATCCAAGGAGTCCCTGTGTATAGAGTGATAATTAAGATATTAATTTACTGCTATGAGATTTTGCTGTTGAATCTAAAACAATTTTCTAGTCACTTTAAGTCATATGTGATACCCTACTCACTAACTTACGATAAAGTTCCTATAGATGTGACCTTGGAATAGAATTCCTCAAGTAATAGGACTACATTAAAATCATTCAAATTATTAAGGTCCTCAAAATGTTTATTAGTAGAATTCAGTTCAAATTTATTGAGTGCTGTGTTATTAAATCCTCATTTAAAATAATCCTAAAGACGCTGAAACCAAAATCACAAATTTTACATTCAAGACTAGTTTTTCCAAGCATAATTGACATTACATGTTTGTGAATGTGTCTGGTCCATTTCACTTCATTGTATAAATGTTTATGTATATGCAATATATATCATAAATTTTGACATTTTTCGCTGTTATGGCCCATTTCACCCGCTAAATATTATGTCTCGATTTCCATCTAAAATGTTATTAGTCTTCCGGCAAATGTATGAAATGAATAACATAAGGAATATTCTACCTATTTATATAAGTGTTCACATTTATTTTGATGTTACAAAAAAACAATTCCCGCATCATATTTCAACATACCACAGGTTTGAGCTAATTCGTGCATTTAACATGCAAATCCCTGTCAGCATATTGCCACAAACATGGAAAACTACTCTCAATCAGCGAACAAAACAATCGAATAATATAAGTCACAAATTTTAATTTTTTTTCAATCATTTTGTACTCCGAACGAAAGAAAACCACAAACATTTCATTGCCAGAAGTACACAAACAATTGGTCTGTTCCAGAAGTGCAAGAATGTAAAACCTTTTACTACGATAACCGATTTTCCCTTTATGATATCGAAAAAATTGCAAAAATAGGAGATTCTTGCAGGTTTTGGGAGATAGGTAGATCCATATGTAAAATGGTGGGTCTAGAACCAATATTTCGAGGTGTTACAAACTTTCGTTGTTGGGTATAAAAGAAGTTTCATTAATGCACTTGTCTACTTTCTTTTGCGCAAACTTTTACGGATTAGGTTGATAATTCCGTCAACCCCATTTATACTGTTATTTAAAATGGAAAACGATCGGAGGCAATCATTATTAGAAATGGAAACAAATCTTCGTTTTGAAAGCACAAATTTTTGACAGAAAGGCAATAGTGTAAAATCATGGTACCATGGCACAATAGCTGCAGGTAGAACAAACCTGTAAACTAAATACAATTTTTTTCTTTTGGTGTCTCTATTCTGTCAAAGTATATACACAGCCTTTATATGTGTGTGTATTATTTTGAATAAAAAAGAAAATAATTTGAAATGATTTCAAATTTAGAGACAACAGAAATTCTTATTTTTTACGCTAACGGGCAACAATAGGTGTGTCTGGTTACTTTTCCAGCAGGAATTGTCCAGCAACTTCTTTCTGAGAGAGTAAGGTAGTTTTATTCTCTTTTGCAAGGAAAATGCGAAAAGTAAACAGACGGTATTCCTGCAGAAGCTTGCAACTAATCAGCTGATTTGTCAAAACAAACCAATTTGTCCCCATAAGGAGAATTAAAACAAAGGAAGAAATACTAATTTTACAAGTTTTTTAAATAAAAATGTTGGAAATAGTCTTTTATTTTCTTATTACATATTAATATTTACTTTTTTCACATTTTTTTACGTTGTTCTCAAATTGAAACTAAACAAACAATAGAAAACATCTGATTGAATGTCGATGAATGGGAAGAAGAAGAGTTGCAAGTGATTGCAAGAAGAAATTTGTCCAGCAAGAATTTGCAAACTCTCACTGAAAGAACTGTCAAAATTTCTCTCTCCAACCGCTCTATTTTGCAGAACTTTCGGGTTAACAGACGACTTCCAGTAACAATTTGTAACAATTGTTACAAATTTTAGAGTAACCAGACACACCTAATATGTATAATAAAACAATCTTGTCCTACTATGATGGATACAATTTTGTGGAGAAACACCAATATTCCGTTCAAGTTTTGTGGGTTTTCGCCATGGTACAATAATATAGATAACAGCAAGTGTTGCTGTACAGCAAACATATGTGCTACAAGTGTCAGAGTTATTTGTCCAAAAAATGTAAACAGAACAATTAATTTTAGGAATTTGGGTTATTAAATTTAAAATAAAAGAATAATAAATGAAATCAAATAAAAACCAGTAAGGAAAGCTCAAAAGTCGGGCGGGCCTACACCCTACACCACTATGCATATTTAGTAGAACTCTCGTAAAAGAAAGGTTTATATTGCAAATTCTGAACTCTATGTCATACCTGGTACAAAATATCGTTATGGTAGAGAGCATATTCCGAAAGTTGGAGATTTAAAAACCAAATCGGATGAAACATATATATGGGAGCCAATTTGAAATTCTTCCTTCTATGCTAAACTCGGTTGAATTTCGAAAATTCACTCCATTTGGGCTAATATTAGCTATTTGGTGCACAATAAACATGAACTCGAAAAATGATATATATATATGGAGGCTATATCCAAATCAGAGCCGATCTTCATAAAATTGAAAACAGCTATTTCTTGGCTGCATCTGATATCTGGTACCAAATATTATTGTATCGTGCACCAAATTTAAAATACTTATTTATATACTAAATTCGGTCTGAAGTGCCAAAATTCACACTATTTGGACTGATATTAGCAATAGCAAATATAATCATGAATTGCTAGGCTGTATCTGATATCTGATGCAACATATCAGTCTCGTGGAGTGCATATTACGAATGTGAGAGTCTTAAACACCAAATCGGATGAAACATATATATGGGAGCTATAGCTATATCTGAACCGATTTTCAAATTTGAAAGCACCTGTTTGTAGGCTGAATTCCGTCAGATGTAGCAAAATTCAAACCATTTCTACTGATATTGACCATTTCCAAATTGTTATTTAGAAAATTTCATCTCAATCGAATAATAAATGCGACCTGCATTTTGTTTACAAAAATACATGGACGGACGGACAGACAGACGGACGGACATGCATAAATCTACTAAAAATGTGATTCTATGCTGATCACCAAAAGGAACTATGGGTTTATCTCGTTTTCTTCTCCATGTTACATACAAATGTACAAAGACATAATACCCTTACCACTATGTGGTGTAGGGTATAACTAGATTGTCTAGTTGAAATTTGCTTGTCTGCCTTGAACAAAAGTTCTGTAAACAGTCTATAAGTCTTTACATTATAGTATGAACCCTACATTATAAATATAAGCGCTACCAATAAACAACTACGACCGAATGTTGATTTTTAAAATGATATTTTAAGTAGTCCCATTACATATTTACATATTCCAATATCGTTTTGTCAAAAAGTATACAAAGCAGGGTTTAAAATGCTAACGCCAAATTAGCGATAGCACCGAAAATTTTCAGAATTGCAAACAAAATTTGAAAAATTCAAATTTAAAAATAAAAATTCTTATATATGTATATTGTAATAGCCCCAGTATTTAGTATCTTATTATATATTATTGAATTCAAATTACTTTAATTTTAAACATTGTATGGCTGATCATGTGCTGGCTGTGGCTGTCAATATTTATTAGCAGATGCACTGATACAATGTTTTAAATTAAAGGAATTTGAATTCAATAATATATAATAAGATGCCAAATACTGGGACTAGTACAATATATGTAAGAAATTTTATTTTTAAATTTGAATTTGTCATTAAAAAACGGAACAAAATATATTTTAAGAAAATATGTAGATTTCAAAGATTTTTGCGTTATTAATTTTGGTTATTGTGCGTAAAAGTTCTGCATTCTTTATCCCACTCGCGCAAAATCTTTTATTGTAATTAATTATTAAATAATGTAAATAAGTAGTTAACTCAGATAGTGACTAATATATACATACAAAAACATGTAAATTGAGTCAAAATATATCAATAAATCAAAAAATGCTTCTATATTTTCTCAAAAATTCGTGTATGGCTAGGTTAGCTTAAAAAGAGCGGCAAAATAAATTGCTACAAGTCATAGCAGACATACACATAAGCCCGAAGTTTGGCCTGTTGTGCGCTCTACTGACATGTTGTGTGAAAAAAGGATTTCATTGATTTATGTTAAAAAAATAAGCCTACATTGGAAATTCTCTTGACGTTTCCTACATTTGAGAGTGATCTCTTCCTAAGAAATGAGTTCTTAAGTTTGTGAAATCAGGTCGGTGGTATATTATTATGAAAGTAGTATCGGTCCACGTTTTGATAACGGTGCCTCCCGATATTCGGTATTTTATGCGCATCCGATTTTAAAATACAGCGAATCAATACATTTTAATGCTTATGTGTTTTGCGAAATTCTATTTGGCAATGAAGATGTAGGAAAGCGTGAATTTTCACTGACCAAAATTGAAAGCAGTAAGGAAAAGTCAAAAGTCGGGCGGGGCCGACTATATGATACCATTCACCACTGTGCATATTTAGTAGAGCTTCCTTAACAAAAGAATTTATTTCAAGTAGATCATACTACTCGTCAAAATTTGGCTTTAGAGCAAATATAGTTTGTTATAGAGTGCATGATATCACTTGGAGAAGGATTATATTAAAAATATATATATCGGAACCGACTTGCACAAAATGGAAACGTACGTCCCGAAATTCACTCTATTTGGTCTGATATTAGCCAATATTTTCACTATAATCCGGAAATCGAATTAAGGATATATATGGGATCTAATTCAAATCTTAGCCGTTCTCGATAAAATTTGGCAGAAGTACCTGGTACAAAATATCATTTTTGTCGAGTGCATGTTACGAATGTGAGGGAGTTAAACACAAAATCGGATGAAACATATATATGGGATGTACCAAAATTTAGAACTTTTTGAAAAATATTGGTCATTTTGTGCACAATTAACCCGAAATCGGTTGAAGATATATATATATATATATTTAGAACCTATATCCAAATCTGAAACGATCTTCATAAAATTTGGCTGATG